AAAAAAAAAAGTCAGAGACTTATTTGGTGATCGCGCAGCATCGTAATCAATCATTATTTTCTAATAAATTGCAGGTGATCGCCATCGTGTCGATCCTGTTCATAGTGGTATCGACGGTAGCCTTAACCCTTAACACTATACCAAGTTTCCAAGTCAACGACGAGAAAGGTAACTTACAAGACAACCCTCAGTTAGCAATGGTAGAGGCCGTTTGCATCACGTGGTTCTCGTTAGAATATATACTGCGATTTAGTGCGTCGCCCAACAAGTGGAAATTCTTTAAGGGTGGACTAAACATAATCGACTTGTTAGCTATTTTGCCGTATTTTGTGTCATTGTTCCTTTTGGAGACGAACAAGAACGCGACCGATCAGTTCCAAGACGTACGTCGGGTCGTTCAGGTGTTTCGGATAATGCGAATCCTCAGAATTCTAAAGTTAGCACGTCACTCGACCGGCTTGCAATCGTTAGGTTTCACCCTGCGCAATTCTTACAAAGAACTCGGTCTCTTAATGCTCTTCCTCGCTATGGGAGTCTTGATATTTTCGAGTTTGGCGTATTTCGCGGAAAAAGAAGAGCCAGGTACAAAGTTCATAAGCATACCGGAGACGTTCTGGTGGGCAGGTATAACCATGACCACTGTTGGTTACGGGGATATCTACCCGACGACGCCACTGGGCAAGGTCATAGGAAGCGTGTGTTGTATTTGCGGAGTCCTGGTGATCGCTTTGCCCATTCCCATCATTGTTAATAATTTTGCCGAGTTCTATAAAAATCAGATGCGAAGGGAAAAGGCCCTCAAACGAAGGGAGGCGCTAGAGCGCGCTAAACGCGAGGGCAGCATTGTCTCCTTCCACCATATCAACTTAAGGGATGCGTTTGCGAAAAGCATGGACCTCATTGATGTCATCGTAGATACAGGTTAGTTTTAGAACGGACTTAGAGCATGACTCATATCCCTACCTCCCCTATTACTCGATGCCCTGTATATGTGATCTACACGGCTTGTTTGGTATTTCCATTGCGTCGATCCCCTTTATTCTTTCTTTTTTTTGACGTTCCAATTGATTTGGCTTTGTTTCGCGCCTCCACTATCAATTTTGTTTTATTTTTTGCCACGTTATTTGTTGGGTTGTTCGGTAAGTAATGTCGTTTTTGGTTGGATTACGATTCGAATACTGACATTACAAATGTAGTTGCCATAAAATTTTCCAATGGTATCACAATACACAGATATAAATACGATACATTGTTTGATCCTATATAAAGAACTTTCTCTAGTTAACATATATACATTTACGTAGAATAACACTATTTTATTATTTATTCTACTATTTAATTGTAGACATTTAGAAGCAGATGTTTGTTAGTCATCTAGAAAACTAACCACCATTTTTCTTTAATATTCATTTTTACGCATTAAAAATTATAATATCAATGAGGTTTCTTCTTCTGAAAAAGTTAAATGCAAAGGTAAGTGTCAATTTAAATAAATTAAGTTCCAATTATTGGTGCCACATTGGGTAAATAATTTTTTTTTAAATTCTTTAGTTTCTAAAATGAACCATTTTCCGGTTGAGTTGATCAAGGTGAAAAGCAACGCAATGATTTTTATTCCAGTTTGTTCTTAAATGTATATAATTAAAAAAATCTCCTTATTCGCGAATAAGGCCCTTTTTGTGCTTAAACAGTAAAATATTAAAACAGAAAATCCTTAAGGATTGGAGGTTGAATTGCCTTTGTCTTTTGAATGGCAGCTAAATATAAATGCCTCAAGTAACACAAAGCCGTTAATTAATTAAAAAAGCAAGTTATAAAAACATTAGAAATCTTGGAACCTAGGAATTTGATAAATTCGTAGTTTCTTACTTGACTGACAGTGTAGAGAGAATTACATATAAATCGTAAAAGCCTCTTACATTTTCAACAACATTTATTCAGAAAAACGCTTTTAAATAAACAAAGGCAGTGGATACTTTAAATTTTGAAAATAAATATTATTCGAAAAAAGAATTTTTTGTTCTTTTCAATACATAAAATTAGATGAATTTTTGAATTAACTTTTACTACAACAGATAGCATGAAATTAATGAAGAAAAATTGTTTCTGCAGTCACGCCCTCGCCGAGAATCGAACTCGGATCAGTTGCATTTCACATCATTAACGTCGATCTTGCCTAGGTTAGGTTAGGTAAGTTACAGGATCGTCGAGCCAATGTATAATCATTATTAACAATGAGAATTTTTAGAAAATTATTGGTAGAACAATGATGCGAAACCCCAGAGACGCGGGTTCGATTCTCGGCGAAGGCGTGAGAACTGCAACAATTTTTCTTCATTAATTTGAGGTTATCTGTAGTGCTAAAAGTTAATTCAAAAATTCATTGTCTCAAACGACATTGTTTTAATATCACTTAGACTCCAACTGTAAACGCTCTTTGAGAGTGATCGTTTGGCCGGAACAATTGTAGATTTTTTTAAATAGATAAATATATATGTTGAAATATTTTGTTGTTTCTTATCAAATATTTGTTAAATGAAAAATCCACAAATAGCGATAACTTCCTAACACGCATTTTGTGGTTATTTCTTTTGGATTTTGTCTCCATTCTCTCTCCCCTTAATTATTGGTAAAAGGCATCGATCGTAGCGACACGTAGTGACAATAATTCGAACCAATCCTATCGGGTTAGCTGTTACACTGCGAGTAGAAAGAGATACATACGTAATTCTTTTTATTTTTATTATAATAGAAGAAAATAAATAAAATTATTTTAAAGTATGGAAAATCAATCTGAAACAAATGGAGCAAGATTTTCTCCAAAAAAACTACGAGTAAAATGTTTTGTTGTGTCTATGGTTGCAAAAGTAAAGCGTTTAACAATCCGGGCGTTCGTTTCCACTATTTTCCAAAACCAAATAGTTACTATGTAAAAATACAAAATTATTTCGGTAATTCGGTAAAGTCGATTGCCATAAAAAATGGCAAGAAGTTTTAAAAATTGGGGAAACAGTAATTCAGCACATGCAAGTTTGTTAGTTACATTTTAAAAGAAGTGACTATGTTCCACCTGGTAAATATTCATTTTTTTGCATAATTACTTTAAGCTATAACTAATTATTTAAAATTAATTCAAATATTAATTACGTTAATCAATATTTTGAATTTTGTGGACAATGAGACATGTTGACTCTATTTTTAAAGGTTTCAAATTCTTGAAGAAAGATGCCATACCTTCCTGTAATTTGCCTTCATGTAATATAAAAGAGCCTTCAGATGACCAGAAACGAATTAATAGAAGTATGATTAAGATTAAGATTAAGATTAAATAGAGAAAAAAATCGTACTGAAGCTAATATAAACCAACAAAATGGAAATTGTGGTAACCTAAACGATGAAGAAAATATTTTAACAAGTTCTGACCTTCCAATGGCAGAAAATAATGATATAAACTCTCTCAGCGTAACTCATATCGATTATTTATATTATTTAATATGCCACAATATATTAAATGACCAGCATTCACAACTTTCTCTCCTTCAACGAAATTACGGCTTTTTATTGATGAGTTCAAGAACTCCAAAATTTCACTCAAAGATAAAAACATTGCTTCAAAATTAACTTGTAACACATGTTTTCGTATGGAAACGTGGCGTATTTGACCCGANTATAATTCACAAACTAATGATCCGACAGCCGTCAAATTTATAGACGCGTCTTTTGAAGGTTAGGACTAACTGAAAATCATATGGATTTAGTTCTGGTGCCGCCATCTATGTGTCAGGCCGGGGACTTTTCAATTGACCCTATACTTCCTGGAATTCGCTATACATAAATTATATTCCGGATATTTAATATATATAGGATTACTCTGAATTAGTGACGAGTAAATTGATCTCGGTCTTGTAGTCCAAGACCAAAACTGTCTTTATACTAACAATACCAAGATTGAGACCGAGACTATGTTTTGCTCATCAGTAGTCTGCATGGATCTGAAAACGCTTTCAACGGAATTTTTATGGCTTACGATTTGTACAAATTTTTTCTTTCAATTTTCTTTTCTACACAAGACATAGAATGCTATTGGTGGTGGTAAAATATGCATAAAATATAAATGCGCCACATCAAATCACGATAAATCAATTCAAAGCGTTATTTACTGAATATTACGAGGCATCGATTTGTGTAAAAGAAAAAGCTTATTGTAGATACAGTTGTTCTTTAAATTTAAATACGTACATGTTCCATGTATTTGTATGGTTCAAAAGTTTCAATTCGTTTACTGTGGTTTCAGGGTTTTTCTTTAAAATCAGCTTTAAAATTAATGTACTACGTGGGTTTGTTTATTAGTACGTACAAAGATAATAAAATAAATACTAATATAAAATCCGTAAAGCGTTTTGGTTAAGGGATTATTAACAATTGAATGAATTGACTTCAAAAGGGTATTATCTGTCTATATCGCGGGGTTTTTCAGTTTGATGCCTGTGTCCTGTCCACCGATAACAAATCCGTATATTTAATGTAGACGTACAGTGGTGTTATTGATAATTGACAGGGAAGAAATAGGTAGCCAATTTACGAACACTAGATTGTAATCTTTATTCTCCTGCTAAACGATTAAGTATCCCAATGATGAAGTTATAAAACGATAGGGGAGATTGTGGTGATGTACAGATACATCGAACGACGTTTAGAGCGTGGAATTAGGATTTTAAGAAACTGGAATTACGTTTTTATTGTTACTTATAGTAGGTTTGAACATTTTCTCGATTATTTAGCTTTAAATAGTTTATAAATGTTAGGATCAACTACTGTGTTTATGTTTATAATCGATACGAATGTCGTTTCTATGTCAAATTAAAATTATTATTTCGAGATACTACAAACAATAGGAGAAATGACATTAACTATTATTTTCTTTTATGAACTTTAGGCTTTCCGAGGGTATAAAAATAATTGTAAGCTTCCTTATCTTTTTCTCAAAGCGTAGTAGAGGATGTAATAGCTGAGTGCGAGATCTGGTGAGTAAGGTGGGTGTAAGGGTATAGTCCATCCGAAGTCGTAGATAAATCCGTTACACATACGATAGTTTTCGATAAGTTTTGATTTCGAATTTCATTTTCATAAAAAGAAATTACGCTTCAAACTTCAGCAGCAGCGTACACACCAATTTGATTCTTATTTGACGTCATCAGCACCGGCCAGTATGCTGAGTTATATTTCGGAACACACCCATCTTCCTGGTTAGATCATAGGTTAGTATTCGAGAAGACACCAAGTTGGTTCAATTCCAGGTCCTCTGGCTTTGGTCCTAATTTTTTGCAGTTTCTTGGATTTTCTTTTACGTCCTTCTTTTTTTTTCTGTCTCTATTTCATCCGTCTCATCAGTCTCTCTTCAACCATCACGCATCCATTCCCACGATTCCCAACTAAAGACGGTTTCCGGTTTTGAACAAGTAGTTTCTTATTTTTTTCTTGTATTTTCAATTTCCCACATAGGTACCTTTTAATTTTTAACAAAAGAGCAATTTCAAAATAGAAATGATGAACAAAATCCCTTGTCCATTTTCAATTAACATGGCTGTACTGATAAATATTTCGAATGCATATATATATTTTTACGTATATACCTCCACCCTAAACACATCACGAAAAAAATAATAACTATTTATTTGTGGTTCGATGTACATTATTGACTTCATTAATGTAAAAAATGGTGGTTCTTTTATTTCGTTGGCAGAAAATGTTGTTGAATGCACAAGTAATTTTAATACTGACTTGCATGATTGTATGTATATTCCTAAATACCTACCCTTAAAATATTAGAATGTTATTATTACCCATATTAGTTAAAAAAAAATACCGTTTACGTACTAACACGTTGTGTTAAAATGTAGTGATAATTACATAGTTTTCATTACTTCAAACGCGTGCAGTAGAAAACGTAAAATTCCAGAGAAGGTCTACAAAAAGGAATTACATAAATTTTGTGTGCTGTAAAAATGCCTTTGTTGTTTAACTTTTAAATATGTACATAAATATGCAAATGTAATTCAAAAAAATACTTTTTTTTAAGTAAAATCCAGGATATTTTTATTAATAACTAATAGATTTATTAAAAGGTGTAAGATATCTTGCCATTACTTATAATAGTTTTTGAAATTTTTTATATAACGTGGATTTTCCTTAAAAAGTAGGATAGTTTTATCTTAAAATTTTTACGTTATATGTTTTTCTTATTTTTAACTGCAATTCGAGGAATTCGAAGAGTTGTGGTATAAAAGTGTTTAATTTGTAAGAATAACATTTTCTTCATAACTGTTGTAGATCAAAAAAATCGAACAGCAAGAGAAGATGGCGCATGATATTCGGATTTTTTAATTATTATTATCCTTATTTAAAGTGATGGTGATGGGCAAAAGCGACAACCAGATTCTTAGCTATTTCGAACCTAAAATTCAATGTTTCTCTTAGCAAGTCTGCAGTTTCTTTACATTTTGTTACAATTTATTGCAATGTAAAAGTGTTTTAGTAACTTAGTGGCAAAATCAAACTCCCTATTATTTGGTATTTGTTACAACTATGAAAACAACAAATACACCGTACATTTATTGTTGAGAATTTACGTAACAATGTGTAAACAACTGGCTAGGCTCGCTTTGATTAGCAATGAGGTTCAAATCTCCTACAACACACATGTACAAATACTGTTTCTATTAATTTAATAATTAATAATTTCTGTAAAATACACCTTTCTGTGCTTTCTTGTTTCGCTAACTTTTCAGGTTATTTATTAATTAACACCAGCTTGAGTCTTTATGTGCTTAACCAATGAACAAAACACCGTTTTATTCTGTGGTAATGGTAACAGAAAGAATATACATTTATGACTTAAACTGAAAGGTTTCCATTAGTGTAAGGCATACGCCCGTTTATGACCACGCACATAAACAAAATTCTATTAGGAATATAATATCTTGTGGCTTTCTCATTTAGTTTTCGAAAACAGGCATATGTACATCAAATGATCCAAATAAAAACAGTGACGACTCATGAGCACACTGATTGAATGAAAAAAAGCATCGGCTACAGAACAGTTTTCTGTTTGTAGACTGCCTGTAGGTACCTACTATTAAAAAAAAAAAATTTTTTGATTTTTTCGATTTGCTAATTGAACATCCTTTCAATTTTTATGAGTTTACTCCAAGCATTTTCGAAAAGCTGTAATAAGTCCAAAATTGAATCTTGAGTTGTCACGATTCTCGAACATCATAATTCTACTGAAACTGTTTGTTCAATAAATTTATCAATAAATATAGGTCACAGTTTCGGTAGAACATATGAGCGGATTACAGAAAATCATTTCAACTCAACTTTAAGGTTATTGCTCATTGCAGTTTCCCAAAGATGTGTATTGTGGACTCGCCTTGAAACACCCTGTATATCCTTTGCTATAACCATTACCGCGGAAAGGGATGGTCACCCTAAATAATACGCTTGTATCTATTAACATTTACTAATGAATGTTCTGCTAATGGCGGCTCCCAAAAAGTGTTCCTTCGATCGATGAATGAAGATGAATAATAATAAGAAGGCTTTCGCTGTGGACAAAATAAAAAACAAAAAAAAAAAGTCAGAGACTTATTTGGTGATCGCGCAGCATCGTAATCAATCATTATTTTCTAATAAATTGCAGGTGATCGCCATCGTGTCGATCCTGTTCATAGTGGTATCGACGGTAGCCTTAACCCTTAACACTATACCAAGTTTCCAAGTCAACGACGAGAAAGGTAACTTACAAGACAACCCTCAGTTAGCAATGGTAGAGGCCGTTTGCATCACGTGGTTCTCGTTAGAATATATACTGCGATTTAGTGCGTCGCCCAACAAGTGGAAATTCTTTAAGGGTGGACTAAACATAATCGACTTGTTAGCTATTTTGCCGTATTTTGTGTCATTGTTCCTTTTGGAGACGAACAAGAACGCGACCGATCAGTTCCAAGACGTACGTCGGGTCGTTCAGGTGTTTCGGATAATGCGAATCCTCAGAATTCTAAAGTTAGCACGTCACTCGACCGGCTTGCAATCGTTAGGTTTCACCCTGCGCAATTCTTACAAAGAACTCGGTCTCTTAATGCTCTTCCTCGCTATGGGAGTCTTGATATTTTCGAGTTTGGCGTATTTCGCGGAAAAAGAAGAGCCAGGTACAAAGTTCATAAGCATACCGGAGACGTTCTGGTGGGCAGGTATAACCATGACCACTGTTGGTTACGGGGATATCTACCCGACGACGCCACTGGGCAAGGTCATAGGAAGCGTGTGTTGTATTTGCGGAGTCCTGGTGATCGCTTTGCCCATTCCCATCATTGTTAATAATTTTGCCGAGTTCTATAAAAATCAGATGCGAAGGGAAAAGGCCCTCAAACGAAGGGAGGCGCTAGAGCGCGCTAAACGCGAGGGCAGCATTGTCTCCTTCCACCATATCAACTTAAGGGATGCGTTTGCGAAAAGCATGGACCTCATTGATGTCATCGTAGATACAGGTTAGTTTTAGAACGGACTTAGAGCATGACTCATATCCCTACCTCCCCTATTACTCGATGCCCTGTATATGTGATCTACACGGCTTGTTTGGTATTTCCATTGCGTCGATCCCCTTTATTCTTTCTTTTTTTTGACGTTCCAATTGATTTGGCTTTGTTTCGCGCCTCCACTATCAATTTTGTTTTATTTTTTGCCACGTTATTTGTTGGGTTGTTCGGTAAGTAATGTCGTTTTTGGTTGGATTACGATTCGAATACTGACATTACAAATGTAGTTGCCATAAAATTTTCCATTGGTATCACAATACACAGATATAAATACGATACATTGTTTGATCCTATATAAAGAACTTTCTCTAGTTAACATATATACATTTACGTAGAATAACACTATTTTATTATTTATTCTACTATTTAATTGTAGACATTTAGAAGCAGATGTTTGTTAGTCATCTAGAAAACTAACCACCATTTTTCTTTAATATTCATTTTTACGCATTAAAAATTATAATATCAATGAGGTTTCTTCTTCTGAAAAAGTTAAATGCAAAGGTAAGTGTCAATTTAAATAAATTAAGTTCCAATTATTGGTGCCACATTGGGTAAATAATTTTTTTTTAAATTCTTTAGTTTCTAAAATGAACCATTTTCCGGTTGAGTTGATCAAGGTGAAAAGCAACGCAATGATTTTTATTCCAGTTTGTTCTTAAATGTATATAATTAAAAAAATCTCCTTATT